GACTGTGCTGTGCTAACTTTATTATACCTACTTATATATCAACAGGCGTATGGCGTATGAGCATATCGACTTTTAAATCTCACCGCTTAAACATTCAAGCTTAAATAAATTTAATAATAGTTTCTGATAGGTAAACAAACCTTTGCCAAGTAGTAAAAATGCTTATGAAAATTATAGTTATCTTGTATATATTTTTTCGATCAATAAACATATTAGCATACTTGTGGTGGATGCATTATAACTCGTACTTACTGCAAATATTGATAATAATTTAATGGGCACTCTTTCATCTCGCCTAAGGTATTGCGCTGCTCTTAGGGCATGCTTAGAATTAAATTCGAGAGCAATGAAAATGATGACTTACAAGGCTAAGACACTTAAGATTAGATAACTAGGCTAATTGAGCTGGGGCCTTCACTTCATCAGCGTCGTCGTCGGTGTTGGCGGCAACAGAGATAATTTCTCAAATTTGGCCATCGTTTGGCTAGCGGCGGGCAGCTCAATCAGCTCGGCGTCTGGATTATATGGATGGTTGGGATTGGCGGCGGCCAGATCGTTGACGGCAATATCATTGGAGAGATCCACGGGGGCAAAGTTCTCGTAGGTGTCAATGTCATTATTCAAATCGTTGTCGGGATCTGCAGCTGCAACGGCTGCCGCATCTTCGTCCAATGTCGCCCATTCATCGTTAAAGGTCTCGCTCATCTCGACGGGCGTTGCACGCTCATCTTCATCGTCTGAGGACTCCAGCTCCTCGCGTTCCCTGTACAGCTGCTCTGATTGTGGCGCGGCCAACTCATCATCCAATGCGTCGCCGAAGTTTTCAATGGCTTCCAAGGACTCGGGCTGCGACGCATTATGACTGTCGCTGTCTGGCAGCGGCATTTCCGTTTCCTCATTATGCGCCATTGTGTCGCCATCTTGAGCTTCGGCCAGCTGCTGCTGCTCCACCTCCAACTCGAACTCCTGCTGTTGCTTCTGTTCATGCTGCTCCTCCTGTTTCAATTCAGCCATTGGCTCGGCCATTATGGTTTGCACAGTCTGTTTGATGTCTGTGGCGTCTGCGAGGGAATCCAGTGCGGCGTCTTCTACAGAGGCAAGGGGGCTTGTGGCTGTACTTTCTTTTGTTCTCGTGCTCTGTGTTTAATGAGTGGCGGGTGCATCATTGTGCGTAGGTGAATATATATGTATGTGTGTGCATGTGTATGTGTAAATAAATGAAATAAAAGTTTTTATTACTGTTGAGTTTGCCAATTATGTGAATAGTTTTAGTGGAAGCTCGCGTCACATGCAAATTTTAAATTTAAGCATAAATAGAACAACAAGATTATTAAAGCAATCGAATGAGAATAAAACTTACAGCAGCAACTCTGTTCTATTTGCTACGCAAGATCGTACTAACCCGCTGTTAATCAAAGCATTCTTTTTATACAAGCAGTGAGATGAAACGTTCAGCGCAAGATGACTCATGTTGAGGAACTGTTAAGCTGGGCTTGAACTCACTGAATAAGAGATAGAGAGAGAGAGAGAGAGAGAGAGGGAGAGAGGGCACATTGTTCTGTTAGTCAGCTGGGCTTCTAAGCAGCGCTCATCCCCTTAAAATAATGTCGTTTAACAGTAACGCTCTTCCTCTTACTTTACATTATTCTCTACTCAATTTGATTTCTAAGCAGCGGCTAATTCGCTTCCGATTAACATTCGCTGTTAAAAAGCTAGCTTAACTCCATTTCTGTTAACAGCACACGCTCTCACTCTCTGCTAACATTACTGTGTTACTCAACTGGTTTTCTAAATAGCGCTTTGTTCCCGTTGCTGTTCGCTCGTTCGCTCTCACTCTCGCTTTTGACATTTTACAGACGTAGCGTTCATTAACATTTCTGCTTATTATGCATTGGCTCACGCATGATTCACCTTCGAGTCCGATAACATTCGTAGAATTCTATTAATATACACCTTGCCAAATATAAATTAGCATGCAAAGAACAAGGCGCCCCCGGCTTGTCATTCATGCGATTTTATTGGTCACTCGGTCGAGATCGATGTAACCGTGACGTCAAAAGTTCATTCATAATTGTTAAAGATGACAGCAGCCGCCAACAAATTCTTTTTTTCTATTCTAAGATTCATATTCCGTAAATAATTGCACAAATTCGCAGAAATTTGTATTATTAATACAAAATGCGCATTAGCTGTCACAATGCCGAGTTTATTTTTATTTGCGACGCTCACTTAACTTTTTTGAATGATTCTTATTATATAACTGGTTGCCGGGCAGGGCAGGGCTATACAAACACACAAATATAATATATTTAATATATAGTACAGCAGATGCTTGGCTGCTTAGCTAACGGCAAGATTGAGTCACTTTTCTTAATGATTGTTTCCGGGGAAATTCTCGAGAATTTAGTTTGTGTTGGCGCTTAAGCTGCGGAATATCCTATGCAAATTTATTGAGTAATTGCAATGTTCAAATTTATGAAGATCTTTAAAAGAATACATACATATGTATATGTTTAATTATATATTTCTTTACTTTAAATATGTTTATTTTTTTTATGTGATATGAATGATCTGTATATGCATATATTTTTTAATCCTAAAATTCAATATCAGTTTGTCAATGAAAACATTTTCTTTGATTCAGCTGTCTCTTAAGCAGCTGCATCGCATTGGCAAATTTATGACCAATTTATATGAGGCAGCCCTTCTTGTGCAACAGCCCCTGCTCCACAGTCGTATGAAAATTTGTTCGCAGTTTAACGCTCTATTTTACGCTGCATATTTGATGTGTGTTGTGCAGAGTTTACAGTTCACAATTCGCACAGCTCTCGTTGCGCTTTTGCTCATTTCACGCACACTTTGTAGCACGCACACTGCTTCGGGGCCCGACCCCATACGTAAACCCCCTCCCGCCCCTCTTAGTTTTAAATAGCGTATAAAAAATAGTCGAGCCGGGCACATAACAAATTGAAATGCAAGTGCACAAAGTAATTTTTACAAAGTTATGAAGGGCTTTCGACATACATATGCAATAAATGCGGTTTAAATATATTTCTGTGTGTGTGTGTATGTATAGAAAAAATAAATACATACTATATAATATTTGCACAGTTTTTTAATGGGAAAATATTAATAAAATATTGCATACACAAGTACATCGAGTTTTGGGAATGTTTGTGCCAAACGACAGGCAAATTGCTTAACAGCCTTCAACAATTTCGCAATATTTCCGCCAGGGGCTTAAAAACATAGCATAGCATTGGCAGCAGCGACCCGGTGGGGGGGTGTACTTTGGGTGCGCTACTCTATATTAATATTTATAACCATGCATTTTACATATTTATGTATATTCCAAATAAATGCATAAACTGAGTTTGGGGTGCCAAAAACCGCAGCTTTCAATATCCGCGGGAGAGATGAAAACAAATATTAAAAATCATATACACTTGTATATATTGTAGTAATATATACAGGGTGCATAAATCGATTAAATTGTGCGACTTGTGCAATAGCTTTTCTTCCTATCCACAAAACGTTTTCCATCATTGCAACATTTTAAATTTGTAACAATGTTGACAAGTCGCACTTCGGCTTTAAAGCTGTTCGTAATTTGCGCATTGCATATTTTTTACGCTCATTTATTAATTTTGCGTTGATTTATGCCATTATGGAAAAGAGAAAAATGTGAAATATGTAAAAAGGAGGCAAACTGCAAAGCGGTCGTAATCGACTGCGTAATACTTTATTTTATAATATCGAAATAAATAAGGAGTTGATAAAAATAGTAGTAGTAGTAGTAGTAGTAGTAAACCTGAAACTCTTTCTCAGTCTCTCTCTCTCTCTCTCTCTCTCTCTCTCTCTCTCTCTCTCTCTCTCTCTCTCTGGATGAACGCAATATTTCATTTTCCTTTTGGCAGGCTTAAATTATATATCATTGTTTTGTTATAAAAACATGGTCACTCTATTTCTACCTTACGCTAACTCTTGACTATCCAATCCCTAATTTGATCATAATCTTTCTTCAGTCAACAGCATCTATAAATAAATACTCAATATACTCCTTTCACACACGAAAATCGGCTATAAAAAAATAATGAAAATAAAAATTTAAAATTAAAAAAAAAAGGGTGAAATGGCGGCAACACGCAAAATGCTCGCAAGTCGCGTGCTCGTCGAATTCGATACAATAAATTCTCATAAATATAACACGGGCACGGTCACGCCCACGAGCAGCAGCGAGAAACGCCCAAGACAAGGATTTATGCGCTTGGCGCACATGACTTTTAATATAAATTAATTTTTATTATGGCTAAAAGTAATTAATGGACTTGAAAAACCGCATATATGATGCATGTACCGTTAAATTGCTGCATCAACTGCAACGTGTTGCAAGGGCTGAGCTCAGAGCAGACGCGAAAAAAAAGAAACATTTACTATAATGCTCAGGACAGACTGTATCATATTGCATTTAAAGCAAATTCTAAATGTGTGTATGTAAAGTATAGAAACAATTAGAGATTATATATTAAACCTTAATGAAAGAAATAATTATTTAGTCATTTCAAATTTGCTTTCGTTCTTATTAAAGTCCAGTTCATTAAAAAATTGCTTATTTATATTTTCATATATTTTTTTTTATTTTAGAAAAAGCTACTACTTTTCATTATTTTTTATTATTTTTCAACTGTCAAAACAGCGCTTTAATTATGCAAAAACTCTGTGAATTTTTTACCTTCTATTAAATTAGAAATGAGAAGCTCATTTACGTTTTTTTAGCATAATATTTAATACATGTAATTTGTTTTTATGCACCCCGTTGACACATAATACAAATTTATAATTTGTTTACATTATTAATTTAGACGCAATGAAGTCAATCCGAACAACAACAAAAAATAATTCTCATTAATCTAATTCAAATATATGAATATTACAATAAAATAGTTGTATATACTCGACTAGAAGATATCCAGGAAGCTGATTAGTAATTGATTCATATAATGGAGTAGACAATAATACTTTATAATTATATAATCAATATTTTTTTTTATTGTAGTAATTGAGGCATTGATATTTGCAGCAAATACATACGCAGCGAAATCATAATGTTTATATTGCAAATGCTTTTCTCTCTCATTTTACCTCACTAACTCATATAGAACTTCCAGGGAGTATTGAAAAAAGTAGGAAATCTAATTGCACAATTAAACATTTTGTCGTGTTAATAAAATATTTATGAATGCGGCGGTTGGCTGACAGTTTATTGACCAGGCAAATAAACAAAACTTAATTATGGTTTCAGCAGCAGCAGCATCAGCAGAAAAAAACGCAATCAATTGAAAATTAAAAATATATAAACTGCATAAAAACCAAATATAAAAGCTAAAAAAAATTAATTTAAATTTAAATTATTACTATGAAATAAATAAATGAATATTACCGCTGCCCACAAACCAGTTGCCTTAAGATTAATTTTATTAGTTGCGAAATAGAAGCAGGCACGAAAATATTATTTGAATAACTCGTCGTTAACAGTCCTGTACAGATTATATGTATATATGTATTTACAATACTATTTTTTTAGTTTTATGCAAAAACTTTATTTGAAAAAAAGAATATTAGAAATTTTCTTTTATATACATGAGAAGTTTACATAGTTTGCTCAATATACATGTTGTTTATATATCATATATACAAATATATATATATATAAATATATAATCGGTTAGTAGAGCGCTACGCGGATTTTGTATTATTATATATATTTCTTAGCAAGGCAATTTGCAAACTTTTCCTGGTTAGATTTTGTTTTTGTTTCTTTTTTTTTTTAATTGCATGGAAATGCTGTGGAAAGCTTTTATACCTGAGGCTCATCGATGTCGCGCACCTCATTGTCCTTGGGCTGCTTCTCGAGTGGCTCACGGCGATCGTTGTCGTCCTCCATATCGTCCGATTCGCTGCGCGTCGCTGGGGCCGATGTACTGGGCGAACTTACCGGCTTGAAATCGCCATGGTTGTTGATGACGCCCTCGACCACCTCCTCGCCGCTCTCCAACGGACGAACATTGACCAAGCGCACCTTGAATAGACTGTTCGAGTCGCCGTAGACGGTCTCGTTGATCTCCACCTTGTGACCA